ACCCCCTCGTGTACCGTTCCGGCCTTCATAGGTGCTCGCTAACAGCAGTTGCCCATACAGTCTGTTAAGGCTACACGGGGGATCTTTTATGGGAGCGCGGCCTCTGTGGAGGAGGCTCGTGAAGGATGCTACTGGGCAGTTGGAGGCAGTCGCCCTCCAACAACAACGGAGGGCGGAGGAGCGACGCTCACAACAACGAGCGGAGCGCCGGGTGTCTAAAGCACAGCAAGTTGGCACAGTAGGAGGCACAGGTGGTGCATCAGCCAGTCATCTTAATCATCTCAGTCAATCGACCCGTGGGACCTGGGTCTGCCCCGTGACCTCCTGCCAGCGGGCGTTCGACACTTCACGTGGCCTCAAGGTGCACATGGCCTGGCACAAGCGTCGTGGTGACGTCACCGCCACTTAGTGGCGAATGGCGGTTGTTGTTGTATGGGAGCGGTAGTGTAGTGGTTAGCCGCTACGAACCTGGCGACTCCAGTTCAATTCCCACTCACGGCCACCAACACCAGAGTCACTGGCTGAGCCAGTGGTGGGGGGGGGGGGGGTGGCACGTGCCCCTCCAATGATCCAATCTAAATCCCTAATTTGGATCGTATCATTTGGGTTTATTAGTAATAAATCGGCATTTTGCGACCCCCCCCCCCCCACTACCACTGTGTAGCATATTATCACATTCCAGGGACTCTATGAGATGATAGGACAATAGTCTGAGTCCATAATTGGTAACGGCAAAGCAGTTATAAGTGACTCACAGAATTGTGCGCAGTTGCGTATACAGCCACACGACTTCCCTGAAGGCATTCACCTTCAGCGAGTGCGATGCCGATCACACAACACGGTTCGAATTCGACCCTCGATCGATGGCTGCGCCATCGCCGCACACGCGTCGAATAAAAATCCAGTGACAAGTCGTTACTTACTAACAACTCCTATTACACTGGTCAACAAAAAAACATTTTTTCTGGCCTGGACTTTTGCAGCTGTTCTAGACTAATTTCAGGGTGCCGATTCCAAATCTGATCTCAGATTTGCTCTATCACATCTCATTTTTATGCTATCAGCATACCCCACTTTCATTGATTTTACCCGAAATTAACTCTGTCACTTATGATTGCAAGTTGTTGCGAGTCAGTGACTGCTTTCGTGTTAAATATGGTGCTGTATTTTTAGGATAGTGTTTTTATAATATAATTTTATGTAGATATCCACATTTATTTAATATTTTTTTCTCTGCAGTTTTTATTGAAAATGCGATATTTGATGTCTCAAAAACCTGATGTGATAGACAAAAACTGATGCCAGATTTGGAATCAGCACCCCAAAATTACCTTAAAACCGTTGGGATACCTTATGCCAGAAAAAGTGTTTTGACCAGTGTAATTTTTCATTGCTGGAGGGGTTTCTCCCCCTTCCTGCAAATCCTGGCTCCGCCATTGACCAGAGGTGACGGTTATCTGAACCGGTCCTGGGCCTCCCATAAGAATGACGCTGGCCACCCCCCTCGTGCGCTATGCTCGCCTTCATAGCTGCTGCTCGCTAACAGCACTTGCCTCAACAGCCTGTTATGCCTGTATGGGGGATCTTTGTGTTTGGTGTGTGGATCAGGTGCGCAGCGGTTAACGCTACGCTGCGCTACGAACCCGGGGACCCGAGTTCGATTCCCTCTCACGGCCACCAACACCAGTGATGATTGTTCTGAACCGGTCCTGGGCCTCCCCTAGGTCGACTCGGCCTCATGACTTTCTGGTATGGTGTGCCACAGTGCCCGGGCCTCCGCAGGTGCTACTCGTTAACAGCACTTGCCCCAACAGTCTGTTAAGGCTATACCGAGTGGCGGGCGGGGGGGTTGGTACCTTTATATATACATATAAAAAGGTGTCTCGATAATTGGACCGCTGTTAAGACATGCCCGTTGCGTTCACCGCAGTCTCTTGGGTTCGATAAAGAAATGATAATAATAGGTGCACACTGTACCTCCCTGTAGGGAACACCACCACCTGGCCTCTGGACCCCCCCCCCCCCACTGAGTGCGTATCTTCAGCGAGCATCCGCATCACTTCATCACTCCGCTGCTGGATGACTCTCGCCCTGCCCCACCCCCAGGCCCGCGTCTTGCCGTGCGGGCCGCTTGATCGTACCTCACCGCGCCGTGGTCGGCGCACGTTTGGTGGGGGGCGGGGGGCGGCAGAGGTCGCAAACGGGTTTTGATTCCTTACCTGTACCCGGCAACATGGCCTTCATCACAAGAGGTCGCAATCAGGTACCCGATACCCGTACCCGGCCGGGTACGGGTACCCGTTCCCTACCCGTACCCTACCCGAAATGAGTGACAAACAGTTACTCACTGGTGGCTCACGGCCTACCCGTACCCGTACCCGGCCGCACCAGGGTCGCAAACCGGTACCCATACCCGTACCCGGCCGGGTACGGGTAGCCGGGTATCGGGTACCCGATTGCGACCTCTGCCTCTCGGCGTCGCCAGTCCAGGCAGCGTCTCCGACCCAGGCGCGTTTCGTCTCCTGGGCCGCCCAGAAACTTGTGTGGCATTTCATTATTTTTTTTAACGCTGTAAAGTGACCACGCCTCCTTCCAGACCGCTGCGGGATAACGAATCTCAACGGGAGCGAGCGGCGGGCGTGATTGGACGGCGGTTGCGTAGGACCCACGCGTGCACGGAGCGCGATGCGGCGGGCATGGCCACAGTCGAATCCTTTGCTTGCATTCGTCGTCCCGACGTTGGTACTATCGGTCGGTAATTTGAACGTGTAACGCGCCGCCGCACGCCGTTCGCTCCACACTCTATCAAAGAGAGGGAGGAGAGGGAGAGAGAGAGTGAGAGAGCGGACGACCCAGATAGAGGTGCACGGCAGGAGGAATCGCAGATGAGCAGGAAGACGCCAGCAGCAGCAGCAGCAGTCGCAGGGTGAGCTGGCCCACGCGCTTCCATCGGCTGTCCGAGCTTTGTGAGTCCTCTATGTAGTAAGATGTTTTTTTTTAGCGAGCTAATGAGCGGCAGCAGCAGCAGCCACAGGGTGAGCTGGCCCCCGCGCTTCCATCGGCTGTCCGAGTTTTGTGAGTCCTCTATATAGTGAGATGTTTTTTTAGCCAGCTAATGAGTGGCAGCAGCAGTAGTCACGTGGTAAGCTGGCCCCCACGCGCTTCCATCGGCTGTCCGAGTTTTGTGAGTCCTCTATATAGCGAGATGGTTTTTTAGCCAGCTAATGAGCGGCAGCAGCAGTCACAGGGTGAGCTGACCCACGCGCTTCCATCGGCTGTCCGAGCTCTGCGAGTCCTCTATATAGTAAGATGGTTTTTTAGCCAGCTAATGAGCGGCAGCAGCAGCAGTCGCGGGGTGAGCTGGCCCACGCTCTTCCATCGGTTGTCCGAGCTTTGTGAGTCCTCTATATAGTAAGGTGGTTTTTTATCCAGTGAATGAGTGGCAGCAGCAGCAGTCACGGGGTGAGCTGGCCCCACGCGCTTCCATCGGCTGTCCGAGCTTTGCGAGTCCTCTATATAGTAAGATGGTCTTTTATCCAGTGAATGAGCGGCAGCAGCAGCAGTCACAGGGTGAGCTGGCCCCACGCGCTTCCATCGGCTGTCCGAGCTCTGTGAGTCCTCTATATAGTAAGATGTTTTTTTTAGCGAGCTAATGAGCGGCAGCAGCATTCACTCGGTGAGCTGGCCCCCGCGCTTCCATCGGCTGTCCGAGTTTTGTGAGTCCTCTATATAGTGAGATGTTTTTTAGCCAGCTAATGAGTGGCAGCAGCAGTAGTCACGTGGTGAGCTGGCCCACGCGCTTCCATCGGCTGTCCGAGCTCTGTGAGTCCTCTATATAGTAAGATGGTTTTTTGCCAGCTAACGAGCGGCGGCGGCGGCAGCAGCAGCCACGCGGTGAGCTGCTGCTGCCGTGCTTCCATCAGTTTTCTCAAAGCTCTGTGGGTCCTCTATATAGTAAGATGGTTTTGCTTTTGCGAACTAATGAGCAGCTTATTAACGTGTGAGGGGGGGGGGGTGGCGGGAGGCAACACTCGACCCTGTGCGGACGGAACGGATGGAGTCGCACGTCTTCCATACCGCCTACTCCTCCATTGAGCACCGAGAGCAGTGGTGGAACTTCCACGTTGCTATGGCGCGTTGGGGGGTGTGGCGGTGAATACCTCCGCAGGACATCCACTCTTGACTCATCGCACAAAGTGGTAACTCTGTTTGTTGATCCAATTGGGGTGGGGATGGTATTGCCGAGTAGATCGATCGCCCCCCCCCCCTACCACCAACCCCCCTGGCCAGTTTTCACGGACGTCCTCTGGGCACGTGCGGCAAAGAGCTTCGTGGATCGCCGGATTTCCCCCCGTGTCGGTAAACACCGCGACGATTTGACCCCGGCGAACTTCCCACCGACCGCCGTTCCGCTCTCGCTCCCCCCCGCGGAGGAGCCGCCACCCCCCCCCCCCCCCCCGGGACGACGGCCGCGCGCGCCGCCCTGATTGGCCGCTCGCCAGGACGACGGCGGTGGCGGCGGCTGCGTTGCCCGGCTACGAACGGCAGCCGAGCGTCTCTACGCGGTGGAGAGGTTTTTTTTCTCTCTCCACCCCCGGGAGGGACCTCCTTTCCCCCCCCCCCCTCCCGAAGCAAGCGGTGGTGACGTTAGAGGATGGGGGGGGGGAGGAGAGAGCGTTCGACGCTTGTTGTGGACCGACCGCGGCGCGAATCCATCGGGACGCCCCTGTTATCGCTGCCGTCGCGTGTTTGGCGTGAAGCTCGTGCCGTCTGCTTTCCAGCGTGTTGCCCGCGGCTCTCCAACCCCCCCACCCCGCCCATTGGCTCGCCGTGTCTCCCCCTCGCCTCTCTCCCCCGTCTCCTCGCCTCTCGTCGTGTCCGCCCTCCCCCCCCCCACTGTCTCCCCACATCTCCTCCCACCGTGTCCCTACTGCCCACGTCTCACCACCGCGCGTGTCCCCCACCCCACCTCCGCCCGCCCCCTCCCTCCCTCCCCCCAGTACGCCCCGTCGGGCTGCGCGCTGGCGCTGCACCACTCGGAGAAGCCGGAGCACGAGGAGCAGTGCGAGTTCCGCCCCTACCCGTGCCCCTGCCCCGGCGCCTCCTGCAAGTGGCAGGGGCCCCTGGAGAGCGTCATGCCCCACCTGGCCACCTCGCACAAGTCCATCACCACGCTGCAGGTGGGCACAACACCGCCCTCTGTGTGCGTGCGTGCGCGTGTGTTGGGGAGCGGTAGTGTTAGCGCTACGCTGCGCTACGAACCTGGCCACCCGGGGTTCAATTCCTGCTCAAGGCCAACACCGGTGACGGTTATCTGAACCGGTCCCCTAGGTCGACTCTGCCTCAAATGAGTGCCTGGTGCGGTGCGTAAACATCGCCACTAGGGAGACAAAGGCGGCCAGGCGTGGTGTTGGCCACCCACTTCCTCGTGAACTGTTCCGGCCTTCATAGGTCCTCGCTAACAGCACTTGCCCCTACAGTCTGTTAAGGCTACACGGGGGATCTTTGTCTTTGTTGGCACAGTGGGGAGCGGTAGTGTAACAGTTCGCGACCCTATTTCGATTCCCGCTCTCGGTCAACACCGGTGACGGTTATCTGAATCGGTCCTGGGCCTCCCCTAGGTCGACTCGGCCTCAAATGAGTACCTCGTGCGGTGTGTAAACATCGCCACTAGGGAGACAAAGGCGGCCGGGCGTGGTGTTGGCCACCCACTTCCTCGTGAACTGTTCCGGCCTTCATAGGTGCTCGCTAACAGCACTTGCCCCTACAGTCTGTTAAGGCTACACAGGGGATCTTTGTCTTTGTGTGTGTACGAGCACAAAGACAAAGATACCCCCGTATAGCTGTTGGGGCAAATTGCTGTGACGACCGGCACGGCGCACACGAGCGGGGCGGGTGGCCAGCGCCACTCCCGGCCGCCTTTGTCTCCCCAGTAGGAACACGCACACGCCACGCACACGCCACGCACACGCCACGCACACGCGTGGACGCAAGGCGCTTTCCGAGGATGTCACGCGCACGTTGAGAAGCGTCGTTGCAGATCGCCGCGAGTGTGCGCAAAGTCGTTTCTATTTATTTTATTCTCTTTCTCTTTTTCCCCTCGCCCCCGGTGCTGTTCAGGGGGAAGACATCGTTTTCCTGGCGACGGACATCGACCTGCCCGGCGCGGTGGACTGGGTGATGATGCAGTCGTGCTTCGGACACCACTTCCTGCTGGTCCTGGAGAAGCAGGAGAGGTGACGAGTCCTCTGTCGGACTGCGACGGCGACCATGATGACAAAGACGATCGTCGTGACGACGACGATGACGACGATGACCATCATGACGATGACGACAATGACGACGATCACCATCATGACGAGAATGACGATGACCATCATGACGACTATGACCATCATGATGACGATGACCATCATGATGACGATGACGATGACCATCATGATGACGATGACGATGACCATCATGATGACGATGACGATGACCATCATGATGACGATGACGATGACCATCATGACGACTATGATGACGACAATGACCATCATGACGATGACGACGATGACCATCATGATGACGATGACCATCATGACGATGACGACGATAACGATGACCATCATGACGACGATAACGATGACCATCATGACGACTATGATGACGACAATGACCATCATGACGATGACGACGATGACCATCATGACAACGATGACCATCATGACGACGATGACCATCATGACGATGACGACGTCTTCCCCCACCTCATCTTGCCCCTCCTCACCCCACCCCCTACTCCTCCCAGGTACGAGGGCCACCAGCAGTTCTTCGCCGCGGTGCTCCTGGTGGGCTCGCGCAAGCAGGCCGAGGGCTTCGCCTACCGCCTGGAGCTCAACGGCAACCGGCGGCGGCTGAGCTGGGAGGCGGTGCCGCGCTCCATCCACGAGGGCGTCTCCTCCGCCATCCTCAACAGCGACTGCCTCGTCTTCGACGCAGCCGTGGCGCACCTCTTCGCCGACGGCGGCAACCTCGGCATCAACGTCACCATCTCCATGTGCTGACGTTGGGGGTGGTGGGGGAGGAGGAGGAGGGGAGTGGTGGTGGCGGTGGAGGTGGTTAAGGTGAGGAGCGGGGAAGGGTTGAGATTGGGGGTGTGGGGGAGACATTGAGAGTGGTGGAGGAGGTGGGAGATGGTCGTGGTGGATGCGGTGCAGGTCCGAGAGAGGTGGAGGACGATTGTGGTGGACTTGAGGACGGTGGAAAAGATTTTGGGCGCAAGATTGTGGCGCGATTGCTGGCCCTGCCGGGCACTCGATGGGTTCGCTCCGTGGTGGTTACGGGAGTTGCTCGTTCGTTGTACTCCAACGAAGTCCCCGAGGTCTTCGGGATTGCCTTCTTCTCAGTACTCGGATGGCAAGGAGATGTTAACTACCTCGCCTGGTGTACAGGAGGTCGTGGGATCGTACCCCGACCCTGACGCCTGCTGCTGTAGTTTTGGAGTTAGTGACTCTTTCTCATCATCACAGTGCCTAGGCGATGTTAACTACGTCACCTGGTATACAGGAGGTCGTGGGTTCGATCCAGACCCTGACGCCTGCCTGTTGTATATTTGGGTTTTTGCGTGTCTCTCTCTCATCATCATCACGGTGGCTAGGAGCTGTTAACTACCTCGCCTGGTCTACAGGAGGTCATGGGTTCCATCCCGACCCTGACGCCTGCTGCTGTATATTTGGAGTTTGTGTCTCTTTCTCTCTCATCATCATCACGGTGGCTAGGAGATGTTAACTACCTCGCCTGGTGTACAGGAGGTCGTAGGTTCGATCCAGACCCTGACGCCTGCTGCTGTACATTTGGAGTTTGCGTGTCTCTCGCTCATCATCATCACGGTGACTAGGAGATGTTAACTACCTCGCCTGGTATACAGGAGATCGTGGGTTCGATCCCGACCCTGACGCCTGCTGCTGTATATTTGGAGTTTGCGTGTCTCTCGCTCTCCCCGTGGTCGCGTGGATTTTTCTCCGGGGTCCTCCGGTTATTCTCATCGCATTTTAGAATCGACGTCACGTGTTTTAGATTCTTTGGCTGCTGCTATTAACTTCCACACGATGATGATGATGGTGCCAAGCCGCCACTTTGTTGAGCTATCATTTGTGGATGGCCACGATCGCTTCTCAAAAAGTGGGGCCTGACCTGGTAAAATAAAAAGTTTAGTTTAAAAAAATATATATATATATACTCCCTTTTACAATGTGAATGAATGAACTCCTACGTGAATATTGATGCTTTGTTATATTATTGTATCCGTTCCACAGGTGAGAGAAACTTGTAACGCCCGCCCGCCTGCTGCTCCGCGCGCGCGCTCGCTGTCAAACCGCGCCGCCAACTTGAAAGGAATATGAAGGGAAAAAGAAAAAACGATTTGAAGTCGAATCGGACGCTACGCCGACTGCTGGAGATTGTTTTTGACGAGGACGGCCGCGAGGAACGCCGTCCTGCTACGGCGTGAAGGAATAAAAACGTCGAATCGATTCGTCGTCTGCGGCTGCGGCGGCGGCGGCTGCTTCGTCAATTTACAGATCCTGTCGGCGGTAAACCGCGTGGCGGCGAATGAATTATAAAAAAGAAAATTCGGACGCCGCCAACTTTGAACTCGAATCTGTCCCGAGCGAGCGAAACGAGCTTGCGGGCAACTTGCGGACGGCGCAACTCGGCGACGCGATGGGAGGGGCACGCTCTCGGCCGGAGGCGCTCGCCCACCCCGCCAAGGCTGGCCAGTAACAGCAGCACACACTGGAGGACGATGGGAATGGACGATGGTGCACGCGTGTGCGTGCGTGCACGCTTGCCGGACTTCATAAGTGCCGCTCGCTAACGACACTTTGCCCACCCCCCCCCTACCCTACAGTCCGTTGAGGCTATCCCGGGAAGATCTGTGTCTTGTGTGTGTGCGCACGCTCGTGATATCTCCTTTTTAAGATTAAGCTTTTTTTTTCCGTCGCCACGCCCTCCCCCCCCCTCCTTCTTCCGTAACGTTTTATCCTTTTAATTGTCATTTTGTTTTCGTTACTTTTACGGACGCACGAAGGCAACGGACGCCAGCGAACGGTCGGCGTGCTTATTTGTGATTTGGCGTGAGAGGATGAAAGTAAAACAAAAAAATACAAACACAGGAGATGACCCCCGCGAAACCGGTCGTGAAGTGACTGTGGTCGTTGAGCGAGCGTCGGGAACGCACGTTTAAAGGCTCGTTTCGTTACGATAGCATCGAGATCAAACGCACTTCATAATATTTAAACGATGGATATTAACGCGTAAAGATACGACGTTAGAAGCACGTAATGTTACAAGAGACACGGTTAATCGATGCATTCATTCATATTCGCTGCACCTACAGCAGCCCGTCGTCGTTGACAGGGAGGAACCGGGTGGGTAAGTTAACGCCCGGCGCTCTTTAACACGGAGTAGACTTTCGCGACCAATACCATCCATAACACAGGTTTTTTTGGGTTGGATCGCGTAAATATATAAATGTGTTAAACCCGCCACCACCCGACACGGCCAATTAGTGAAGGTTTGTCTCGTAAACAGAACGTGCCAATTCGTCACCAGTACAGCATGCCGCTTGTGTGTTGGAGAGCCAAGCCACAACATTTACCACGACGTTTCGCCAGTAATTACAACTAGCTGCATCAGGCGGCGTGCTGTACTCGTAACGAATTGGCAGGTTCTGTTTACGTGACGAACCTTAAATTTCGATTTAAAGCTTTCGTGACTGCAGGGATTCATCTTCTTGGTTCTTTCGGTAAAGTCGCGTAGAAGGGAAATAATAAAGTAATAAAATAAAAGATAATAAAATAATTCTCACGACGTTTCGGCCACAACGCAAGCAGCCGTCCTCAGGTGGAGAACAGGTCTGTCGAGAAGACTCTGTCTATTATTTTATTAAGAAGGTGACAAACCTTACTAATTGGCCGTGTCGGGTGATGGTGGTTTGAACGACACAACATTTATATATTTACGCGATCTCACCCAAAAAACTGAACCTGTATTATGCACTGCGCTCTGCGTGAAGGCCCGTCAAGTTTGGCGATGAGTTGCGCTAACGAGCGGGGGGCGTGGGGGGGGGGGGCGTGCTCGTTTAGGGGGCTTCTGCGATTTCTTACAGCAGTCGACCCACGGGTGAATGAAATATTTAATTGGGTTGGGGGGGGGGGTCCTGCATTTATTATTCTATCAGATATACAAATGCCGGGCCCCCATTGCGAGCACACGCACTTACACACCGTCAACTTAGCCAATCCACTGCTGGATGACGGTGGGCCCTCCCGCGGGACTCGTTTGATTGTGGGTTGTTTGTACGCCACCGATTCTAACTATTTTGTTATTTTACCACCCAGAAGACGTCCCGGGTGTGTGCGCGCGTAATGTGTGTCCGTCGCGCGCGCGTGTGCGCGTCACGCTTGCACGTCGCGTATGTTGACTCAGCTGTGAGTAACCCAGCCGGAAATGGGTATCCGTTGTAATTTATATGATGCAACACGTTCCTTCCGAGTGGGCAGGTAGGAACTTGCTTGGAAAGCGCATTCGGGCGGCGCGTCACGTGGTGCTGAGCCCGCCCGAAGCGCTCTATGAAATACAAATCGAGGGCGTGGCTATGCACGACAGACAGACAGACAAATAATCCCTGGTGGGCAGTGTGGAACTGTTGTTCCTAGCTGTATTAACCTCGCTCTGGTCCTCACACCTCATTGACGACGCCACATTTATCCCTCCCCGGCTATTTAAGACCGAAGCAGGAGGAAGATTTCTCCACAACTCTGCGGCAGCAGTCGCAAACGGGTTTTGATTCCGTACCTGTACCCTTACCCGGCCGCACCAGGGTCGCAAACGGGTACCCGTACCCGGCCGTACCCGTACCCTACCCGTACCCGGCCGGGTACGGGTAGGGTACGGGTATCGGGTACCTGATTGCGACCTCTGGGATGAAGCCACGTTGCAGGCGCGGGTGGGTTGATTCTAGGAACTTGAATTGTGAAAAGAGACAAGACGTTCGGAAATGAGTGACAAACGGTTACTCACCAGTGACTCACGGCCTACCCGTACCCGTACCCAGCCGCACCAGGGTCGCAAACGGCTACCCGTATCCGGCCGGGTACGGGTAGCCGGGTATCGGGTAGGGTACGGGTATCGGGTACCCGGTTGCGACCTCTGCTCTGCGGCTGTCCGCCTGATGACGATGGTTGTCGTAATTACTCGCGACACGTCGCTATACTCGAATTGTAAATGCGGTGGGTTTTGGCTCTCAACACACAACCGGTGTGCTGAACTAGCAATGATTTGGCACGTTCAGTTTACGTGACAATCCTTGCTAATCGGCCGTGTCGGGTGGTGGCAGGTTTAACGACACGGTTATATGTACGTGATGCAACCCAACAAAAAAAAACCCTCTTGCAGTTAATTAGCAAGCGCGCAACGAGGATGGCGAGACCAAAACGCGCTGGTGCACGCTTCCCCGGAAACAACGAGCGGGTCATCACCGAGCTTAAATTTCGATTTAAAGCTTTCGTGACTGCAGGGATTCATCTTCTTGGTTCTTTCGGTAAAGTCACGTAGAAGGGAAGTAATAAAATAATAAAAATAAAACATAATAAAATAATTATCACGACGTTTCGGCCACAATGCAAGCAGCCAAGCATGGTGGTGCTCATTCAGACGCTGTCTTTCCGACAGACCTGTTCTTCTGAACACCACCAAGCTTGGCAGCGTATATTTAAGTATATATTTAGGTATATGCGCTGCCAAGCTTGGTGGTGCTCATTCAGACGCTGTCTTTCCGACAGACCTGTTCTTCACCTGAGGACGGCTGCTTGCGTTGTGGCCGAAACGTCGTGAGAATTATTTTATTATGTTTTATTTTTATTATTTTATTACTTCCCTTCTACGTGACTTTACCGAAAGAACCAAGAAGATGAATCTCCGAGCTTATTGACGCACGCCATTTCACCGCCATCGCCACCAACCACCGCCACCAACCACCACCAACCACCGCGGTCGCGGAGGAGGATAAAGCTTCACCGACGCATCTTCGGCTGCTCCTTTACCGTCTAAATATTAATCGTCGCCATCCAACTAATTTTGGGAAATTTGGACGATTCCTCGACAGGTTGTTTTACCCGACTTAGTAACTATTTAAAACACTTTTTTTTTTTTTTACCAGATAAGGCCCCTTTGAGTTATGTAGCTTATTTTTCAGAAGCGTCCTGGCCACCACAAATTATAGCTGAACGAAGTGGGCTTATCATCACTTGGAAATGTATAACCAGTAGCCAACTACTCCCAAACGCTTAATGCTGATTCTTCAATGCGGAGGGAAAAAACGGAGGACCCAGAGAAAAATTCACACGACCACAGGGAGAATCGAACCCATGACCTCCTGTACACCAGGTCAGGCAGTTAACATCTCGTAGCCACCGTGATGATGCTGATGAGAGGCGAGAAAGAGAAATGCAAACTCAAAATATACAGCAGGCGTCGGGGTCGAGATCGAACCCGCGACCTCCTGTATACCAGGCGAGGTAGTTAACATCTCCGAGCCATCGTGATGATGCTGGGGTCGGGATAGAATTCCCCGCGACCTCCTGTATACCAGGCGAGGTAGTTAACATCTCCTAGCTACCGTGATGAACTTCTTTCGCACCGTACGTAGCCAACCATGCTCATCGGAGGTACGGGGGAAGGACAACAAACTAAAGACAAAAGGCAATTCTAAATAAATGAGTTTGCCAGTCGAGATGATGATGATTTTAAAAAGTACATCGCTCCCAGTGGCTTTTTTAATATCGGAAGGAAGAGCGTTCCAGACGGCCGCAGGTGCGCATCCGAACGCGCGCGCCAGCGATGCGGCGACCGCCGCCTTTGTGCGATGGCGAGCCAAGAGCCGCCGCTGCTGCGTGGATGACCGGAGTTTGCGTGTCGATGATGACGGTCTATAGCACCTTGGCGAGATCAACGAGGTGTTGTGGTTGATTTTATATATTACAAGTAGAGACAGCCGTAAAAACTAAAACAAATAATAGCACGGTTGGCCTATGTAAGGTGCGAGAGAAGTTCTACATACGTACGTGCAATAAAGCAGTTTTGTAACGCACGCAGATTGTGGGAAACAAAAGTCGTTGGCAGAGGAGGAGGATGAGGAGCTACGGACGCACGGTGGCCCTGGACATCCAGCGGCGCCTTCGGGCGATTCCTGAAGGCGCTCCGAGTTTTGACCGCTTATACTCTTAGGTTTTTTCGGTAAAGTCACGTAGGTAAAAAATAAAATTAATAAAAGTAATAATAGAAATGTGATATTTTATTTCAATTTTTTATTTAAAATTAATAAAAGTAATAATAGAAATGTGATTTTTTATTTTATTTCTATTTTTTATTTAAAATTTATAAAAGTAATAATAGAAATGTGATTTTTTTATTTTATTTCTATTATTTTAGTATTTTTTATTTTATTTTTTTACCTACGTGACTTTACCGAAAAAACCTAAGAGTACAAATCCTCGCAGTCACGAAAGCTTCAAATCTAGAATTTTGACCGCTTCCCGTGCGGAGCGTGGAGACGGTTACAGCCACGGGAGAGACTCCACTCATCCAGGATACCCGGACAAACTGCGGCCGATGACTTTTTTTTTTTAGCGTTCCCCCAAAACTTGACGTAAGACTAGGATGGGATTTTACTTATTAAAAAAAAATAAGTTTTGATGTTTTTACCGCAACAGAACGCGAGCGCGGTACGTCGCCCCCAAAGGCTTCGACGAAAGGCTTGCAGAGAATCCGCGGATCGTCCGATTCGGCGCGATGGGGAACGGGATTCGTGAACGCTCGTCCCCGTGATCTTTGGGGCGAGCGTTGTCTCGCGCGCCGAACGCTTGGCGGACCGCGTGGGGCAAAAACGCGGTCTTCGATGGCACGGGGTGATTCTCGCGAGAACGAAGGCGCTCCAGGAACCAGGTTGTCGATAAATTGGCGGTTGGGCGGTAATTGTCATACTGATTTTTGTTGTTTACGATTGGTATGATTTGACCTAACTTTATTGACAGGGGGATGGGGGCAGAGGCCTGGGGGCTGAGATGGAGGGGAATTCGAGACTCAAAACGAGCGGTGGGCGACCAAGAGATTGGTGGTGCACTGCTTGAAAATGGTTGGCCGGTAGGTGGGCAATTTTTGGGGTTTTTCGTCGGGGACGTCCTGAATCCCGACGCTTGGCAATATCCCTGGGGCGCGTGCCAGTAGGTCGCGATCAAAAGCCAAGCTTCAGGGATTAACTAAACTATTTCCCAACACTTTGTTTTATTTTACCAGGTAAGGTCCGCCGAGTTGTATAGCTCTGTTTCAGAAGCTACCCTGGCTGTCACACGTGACGAGATGGCTCAACGACGAGGCTTATCTTATCGTGTGGACATTTATGGTGGTCAAGTACTCTTAAGCGCGTGATGTCCATTCTAAATGTGGTGGGGGGAAAAAATTGGAGGACCTGGAGAAAAATCCTCGTGACCACGGGTGGAGAGAGAGACACAAATTCCAAATATACAGCAGGCATCTGGTTTGGGATCGAACCCACGACCTACTGTATACCAGGCGAGGTAGTTAACATCTCACCACCGCAGCACCGGTTTAAACCTGGGTGAGATCTCAGCATTCTGGGATAGGTGTCATCTTCAAGAGAGTTTTCTTCTCCTCCTGTCTTGCGGCTGATGTAGATGCAGAGCAACAACTCCAATTTCACACTAAGGTGGTGAAGCCCATATAACCGTGTCAGGAGTCACGGGGAGTGTCCTACGGAAAAACAAACGGAGGACCCAGAGAAAAATCCACGCGACCGCAGGGAGATTTCCATGCAAACTCCTAATTATACAGGTGTTGGGGTTGGGATTGAAGCTCCGACCTCCTGCATACCCGGCGAGGTAGTTAACATCTCCGAGCCACCGCAGGCTGGTAACGATTCCGACGACGGTGGTGGCAATTTTTTTTAGGTTTCTTGCAAACGAACCAGGAAGCAGCTTGGCCATCGCACTGAGCTGACTGTTGGTGATGGTTGGAGGAGTTGAGGGTGGGGGGGGTGATTCAGGACTGACTTAACGGAGGCGGTGTTGTCGGTGCCCAGCGGTTGAGCTCTGTCGTGAACTCGCTGGCTTGCCGATTCTAAAAGATTTCGATTTAAAGCTTTCGTGACTGCAGGGATTCATCTTGGTTCTTTCGGTAAAGTCAAGTAGAAGGGAAGTAATAAAATAATAAAACGCAAGCAGCCATCCTCAGGTGGAGAACAGGTCTGTCAAATAGACAGACGACCAACGTAAAAACAGGTCCGTCAAGTAGACAAAGTGACTTTACCGAAAGAACCAAGAAGATTTTAAAAGAGTCTGGATCGAAAGTGGACGGCTTTTTTTTATTCGAGGGAAATTGGTGCGTCCAGCCGTTTTTTCTAAAGGGGCACCAAGCTTGCCATTGGCTTCCCCCGAGGTTCAGATCCAGCCGGTATGTGCGGTATGTGCAGGCTGTGGGATCTGACGAGGGTGGTGGGGGGAGGGGGCGAGGAGGCATAAGAGGCGGTGATGGGAAGTACAGCGAGTCCTCGTTTAACGTGGTAGATGCGGTCCCAAAAAGTGCCGCGCGACGTGAAGAACGCGTGCAGCCGAAACGATTTCCCCATAAATGATGTAGTAACGTTTGCGAGATCCGATGTGCTCCTACTGCTACGCATCCCGTGTGGTGAGACGGAGAGACAAACAGCTGAGGGCAGTTGCGTTACCATAACATTCCGCGTGGTGTATCACTCCACGTAGCCGCGCAGCTCAAGAAAGCAGTTCGCCATCCGCTCAGAAACCGCGTTGTAACGGGGCGCGCGGTCAGCGTTGTTGCGAAAAGTGGCCCTGGGTGGAAGAACCGCGTTGTCTGAACACCGTGCAGTGCAGCGAGGACTTGCCGCATCTTTGTCGGGGCGTAGGGCGTCTACGCGACTCGAGTTGTGCGCAACTTACCCGTGTGGCTGCCTTCGTGAGTGACGCCCCGCCAAGAGGCTTGACGTGGCGGTCCGAGCGCGAGACTGCAATCGACCCTCCCCGGGTTTTAACGTTGGTCGTCGTGGGATTGTGGCTCCGTGAGAAAGTCCGGCACGCTGCTGACAACACGCGCCGAGGCTTGCAGGATGCCACCCGAGGATGAGGCCATGGCCAGTTGAAGTCCCTGGCTTCAACTGGCCAGGGCACTCCCATGAGAAAATGAGCAGGTCGCGAGGAGGTTGGAGCGCTCGGCAAATTGCAATGGGTTAAGATCGCCTCCCGGTTTTGTTCCGGCGGGTAGGCGCAGGCAGGCTGGAACTCTGAGGAGGCTTTGACCCGTTGGGGACAAAAGGGCACTGCTTGACGCCTCCTGCCTGTGGCACGGGCCAGACGTGCGCGGTGAGTGCACGATTATGAGACTGCTCTGAGCATCGATGGATAATGTTTCGGCGGCGGCGGCGGCGCAAGGTCAAGCCTGGGCTAGTAGCCAGAGAGACGGACGATGTCCGACGAAGGAGACCGATGACCGAGCGGCGGCCAGAGGAGAGGAAACGCGTGTGGG